AAATAAAGGTTGGACTCCACAGCTATGGTAAAATAAAGGATAAAGCCTTTCATAATATTATTTTAAAAAAAAATAAATAGATGAAACACATTCTATCAGTCAATCAAATATAAGCGATTAACAATCCTACCACATTAATAATTCAGTTCATTAATTAAATGATCATGCAATTCATTTAGTTTTTTCCCATAAATTTATAAACTAATTATGCCCATAAAAGATAATAGTATCAATGTGTCTATACAACCACCTAAATTACTTGTGATATCAAATATACACACATTATGCAGGAGCTGTGACTACGCAAACATTAATATATAAAAATGGCAAATTGTAAAAGGCATAATTATAGCTTTCAGTTGTCAGACTGACCAGATACGAAGCTGTTACCAACGCACAATAAAACAAAAGATTGGTTTATACTCTTTCAATTATCACAGCTAGCTAATCTACATAAGCATCCATGTGTGACGTCAATATGAGGCTATTCTCCACGCTATTTCAACATCCTTAACATTCTGAATAACTAAATGATACTGGTGCATGAATACAAAAAGTGTTATGACAAATTAAATGCTGCATGCTTTTATTTTACACAAGTTTGGTTCAACCCTAGAAAAATCTTTTCTCAATATATAATCAAAATTTAGTTTAATCAAAATTTCGGAAATGTATGTTAATCATGACCAAGCAATACTTACTAATTAACTATTATGAGTATTTCATGATAACTTCTTTCGCATTTAGGCTTTAACTCATGATTACTATTTAAGATTTGTGTATGTGGTAAAATGAAATAGAAAAACTAAATAAAAAATTGACTGTTAAAGTGATGATGGTTATACACTGAAGTATACCGTACAAAACATATTACAATTGTTAGTGAATGGGTATACTAGACCTAAATGAGGCTATGTAATATGATAGCCAATTACATGATGGTAAATGCCAAATTAAGCAGGCACAAAAAACATTAATTTTTTTGCAAACCAGAAAAAAAAAAACAGACATTGGTTTAAGAAACACCATTTTAAAAATGGAACATTGCAAACATTTATCACATTTATGTCTTTGGTAAAATCTGGGTTTGAAAACCTCATTAAAAATCCTTCTTTTCCTCCCTCTCCCCCCCCCCCCCCCCTCC